TTAACTTTTTTCGAATAAATTAGCATTATTAATGTGTTATAACATGCCCAGTCAGGGTGTGAGAGGCAATAAGCTTCTTATCATTATACGGGGCATTGTTCCTCATCGGAAAAATTTCCCAGCGGATGAAGGGGACCCAGCGCACGGAGGTTTTTCGACGGCATCATTAACATGAAATATCCACATTGATTGGCATTTTTTGAGCGAGAAAGCTTAGGGAATAATTTTTATTGGACACTGGACAGCGGTACATCTGCAACCGTTTTAACAATGAAATAAGCTAATCAAAGCTACCAGTAAAATTATTTGAAATCGTGACAAATGGAAAGGTGCCTTCTCATTGCAAATATGCATAAAAAGAATCATAAAGCATGAGCGTTCGGAAATACGTAATTTGCCCATAACAGCGCCTTTCAAGGGAACGCTTAACCACCTGTTCAGTTTTTGGGCATAATTCACCACAGCGTTCTTCAGCAAAGCTGACATTTTTGCTTCTAAGCTAATTTTTCTGAAAAAAATTTTGTGCCTTCGTGACCGTCTTCACGGGGCCGTACAAGAGAATCACGCGTATCTGGAGGCTAAATTTGGAATCTTTGAGTTCTATGCGGGCGGAGAACACAACGCCAAAATTTCGGCTTTCTAGCTTTCCTGGTTCCCGAGTTGGCGATTTTCCCGCCAAAATTTTCAGCGGGTTGGTATCACAGTCCTAGCACTTGGCCGGGGAACACACTGGCAAAATTTCGGCGTCGGAGTTTGCTTGGTTTTTGCATTTATGCAAATGCAAAAGCGCATAATCATCGACATACCTGGGTTCTGCTTTTCAAACTTCGCTCTCTTTAAGCAAGTGATTGTGTTTTTCTCATTACCCACAAAAAATGCGTTTGCTATGCCAGACTTTTAGTTCTTGTCACTTGGCTTAAAGTGAGGGCAAAGCGCAAGCTTTGTAAAGTTAGCAGCCGAGATCTAAAGCATTCTTTAAAGATTGTAATAGTTCCACAAGTTTTCTTAAACATGACTGCAGTAGATAATACTTTTCCTATTTGCAGTTGTATGATGCAGATGAGGACGAGGAACGATTCGAAGTGAAGGAAAATGATTATGACGATTCAGAAGGTAATGACAGTGATGAAAAAAGAATGGAGGTGGATCCGCCTGTAGACGTAAAAAGCACCGTGCAGCGGGTCGTCAGCGAGGAATGGAGTGATGTTGAATGTACAGCCCCTAAGAAGAAACGCTCATGAATTTCGGACCTCATTTCTTTTTTTGTAGCTTTCGTTGATATATTGTTCAAAAAATGACGTTGTCAGGACAAAAATAAAGCAGTCGTAAGCTTATTTACTTTAAGTATTGGAAATAGCTGCCAGCGCGTATCTTGATTTTCCGGCTAGTTACTGACTGCTTTTCTAGTTAATTTGAGCAATGCTTCCACCGCACTATGGTCAGTTGTTGGTTCTGCATCTTCAGTGCTCTTGTTCATTTCAAATTTCAAATAAAGCATACTTTTTTTGTTGAGGTATCAGCATTGCAAGCATAAGGTAGTTCTATTTTGTTTATGCAGCTAGGGGTGGGCAGGATTGGAAAATATGTCTCAGCAGATATGGGTAATTTATGAGATCAGTTTAGAAAAACAATCAGAACCAAAGGGCCTAGCGTAAGCATTTTTAGCATTATGGGAGCATTCCGGTGACGTCGCAACCGAAGGCTGCCCCACCGCGGTTGCCTTTGTGATTATGCTATTTTTGGTGTCTTTTTTTTGATAAATGGTGAAACGCGAAAACACTGCATCTTCGGAGATGCCAAATTAAATATATCGGAAAAAGATAACATAAAGGAATATCAGATAGCCTTGGATAGCCATAGGTAAAGAAAGAAAACCATAGAAACAATTCGAACGTGATATTAAACCGTAAAGTAGCGGCTATTCATACAAATAATTATCTTATTGCGTTGCAAGAACACGCGAAGAAGTAACGATCATGTCAGCAGTGCTGATACGTGTCGGTAAATCATTTGCTGTTTGATAAAGCATCAGAAGAGCAATGAAGTTGGCTAATATCGAAAGGAAAAATTATTCTGCTGATATTTAACATTACCTCTGCGGAACATATCAAAATTCAGCTTACAACACGCAATTTTTGATCAGACTGGCGAAGAGAGAAGAGGTTGAACGCCGATTTACGAAAACCGATACAGATCTTCGGAGATGCAGTCTATTTCTGGGAAAACATAGCAGAGTTAAACAGACACTGGTCAATTTGAGATGAATGGTTTGGCCATATTCCCCGGATGAATAGAGGAACGGGGAATTTAGAGCGTACATTCTTCCCCGGCTGCTCACTATGCCAACTGTATGCAGGGACGACACAAAGTACAGCAGTATGTAAATTAAAACTTGTTGATCACTTGTTCACGACAGGCGCTGAATATTCCTTGGTTTGTTGACAACCGGTAGATTAGCGAATGACACCTTCAGGAAAGTAAGTGACTACTCGGAGCCCATCCATAAAAGTTGCGCACATAAATTGAATAGACGGTGAGTACAAATGGAATCGAAGAGCCTAGCATAGCTGCATTCGTAATATGGAAGAGTACAAATAAACTACGAATGTGGGATATCCGCGCTGACACCCGAGCAGTTTTAGTAATCTTCATCATTAAAGCTTCCTAGTTTAGAAGTAGCACTTATCCAAGACTGCCCGAGGAAGCTACATTTTGTTTTATTGCCTCTAGAAAGTAGAATTTGAGTTTGTGAGGGTTTTTCCGACATGAGCTTTCTAACGTCGAATTAAGTTAGCTCAGTCACGCATCATTTTGTAGTAGGACTGGCATTTGTACGGCTCTTCCCGGTATGAATTGTATAATGCTGCTGTAAATTTCCAATACTTCTGAACCTTTTACCGCAGTGCTCGCAAACGTATGGTTTCTCGCCACTATGAATTCGCATGTGTTCGTCCAGATGAGCTTTCTGCCTGAATTTCGAATTGCAATGGCTGCATTTGTACGGCTTTTCTCCGTTATGAATTGTACAATGCTGCTGTAAATTTCCAATACTTCTGAACCTTTTACCGCAGTGCTCGCAAACGTGTGGTTTCTCGCCAGTATGAATTCGCATGTGCTTATCCAGTTGAGCTTTCTGCCTGAATCTCGAACTGCAATGGCTGCATTTGTATGGCTTTTCCCCGGTATGAATTCTATAATGCGTCCGTAAATTCCCCATATTTTGAAAACTTTTACCGCACTGCTTGCAGTTGTATGGTTTCTCCCCAGTGTGCTTTCTCAAGTGGTTCTTCAGCTGTGAAGCACAAGGTAAGATTTTGCTGCAATAACTGCATGTGTGGGGTTGTCTACCATTGCGAGTTCTGTTTTGGTTGCGACCAGCACACTTGTTATCGTTACTTACGGTAGTCGGTGTCACATATTGCCCTTCCGGAATTGATCGCTGACCATAAGCGCTATTATCTGGGCAGTCCTGCGTGTAATTGTTCAACTCGATCGCGCATGTAGGCTGCAAAACAGAGAAATATAGCATCATAATTGTGAGAATTAATCGTTTTTGTTTTTAGTAATGCTAAATACTGAACCAGGGGTGCGCCGATACATCCGTCTCCTGCGGAAAAAGAATTTGGCAGAGCAAATTGTTTTTCAAAGTGACCAAACGACGGTGACCTGGCTGTGTTTAAGTTCTTCCACATTTGCTAAGTTTGTTCCTGCTTGAGCGAGAGAATTAACTTGAAAAACTTGTAATTTATCTCCATATACTAAACATTCTCAAAACACCCACTCGACCACAAAATATATGCGCAGCGTAATGGAACTGAAGCGCCTGTTCACTTGCTTTTAAGAAAAGGAAGTATTTTAACGGCAAGGGAACTAGAATCACTGAGAAAGCAAAAAATGCCCGTGAAAAAGAGTGCCGAAAGTTGAGAAGAGGAACAAAGATTCAACTGCGAACGAGGTGGAAACTGATTTAGAGAGCGAGCCAACTTTGTCAGAAGAAACAATGTGCTGGACCGTGCCAAGAAGATGATAGATAGCTCCACAAACTGTAATTCTGGTGAACAATTTTCACCGAAAAAACTGTTTCCAGATTTCAAGAAGGCACCCATCTATCCATCAGCATGTATGCGCAAAGCAGCAAAATTGAGTTATCCCTCTGTTTGTTTATAAAAGCGATGTACTTGTAAAGAGAATAGTTAACAAATAGCGGCGCGCACCAGGGCAGCGGGTGCGACCTTGCGTTTTATGCATTTCCCTTCACCGAACGATTGCCTGCTAATGATTTTCACTGCTTTGCGCTTCGGTCTGTGCAAAAATAGTTGAAATGTTGTCTGGTTCTTAAGTTGCGGAATTTCCCACTAGAAATTTCGCACATATGAGATAATAACTTCTCTGTCAAGACTTTCACGGGGCTTTACGTGGTAAATGGGGGTGCGCGAAAGCTGAGTCCAAATTTACGAAGTCGTACATTTGTAAAGGAGATCATTTTAAAATTTCAGATCCTCAACTTCCACGGCCCCAAGATAATTTTCCCGCCAGAACTTCCATGGGGTCGTAAGTGATATTTGGACGCGCTGGATACTGAATTTAAAACTACAAGACTGTATGTGGACAGAAGACATTTCAGCTTCCTGGCTTTGATGTCTTCCGAGATAATAATTTCCCCGCAAAAATTTTCACGAGGCCGTAGGTGACACTCGAGAGCGCGGGAACACTGGCTTTGAATAGGCAATGTCGAACATGGGCAGGGGGCCATTAAACTAAACTTTCAGCTTCCTGGACATCCTGGTTCCCGAGATAATAATTTACCCTTCAAAAATTTTCACGGGGCGGTACATGCTACCCGCGGGCAGGGGAAAGCTGAATTTAAATTTTCTGGTAGCACATGGGTTGGGAACATGCCCACAAAATTTCAGCCTTTTAGCTTTTGTAGTTCCCGTGATAATAATTTTATCGGCCCAAACTTTTACGGGGCCGTACTTGTCACCCGCGGGTACGGAGAGGCTGAATTTAAATTTGTGGGGTCACACGTGGGTGGGGAATGTTCCCCTAAATTTTCTGGTTCCTAGCTTTTGTGGTTCCCGAGTTGAAAGCTGCGGACAAGTTGCAGCGGACACACACACACAGACAACCCCGTGACAGTATGCGTTTTGTACTGCTGTTACACAGCACAAAACGCATAAAAACCCAGTTTGGAATGCACCAGGATTGCCGGTGCGATCTTGCGTTTTTGCACCAGACTTAAAATACTCAGGCCGTTACTACATGAATGGTGTTGCTTCATACCTATTTTTTACTCTCTCTAGCATAAATTATCGTAAATTTTGCGTAAAGGAAATGAACAATTCCCGCCAAAACTTTCATGCCTGTACTTGAGTAACAGTCGTTCCGAGTAGCTGAATTTGAAATCGTCGAATTGTAAGTGGACGAGATACCCTTAAAATTTCTGTCTTCCAGCTTTGCTGGTTACCGAGCAAGCTATTTTCCCAAAAAAACTTTCATATGCCAGTAAGTGAGAACAACACACAACTAAGCATTGAGTTAAAAATCTTTAGCCCACAAATACACAGAGAATATTCTTGCGAAGTTTCAGCTCTCTGTCCTTTCTGATTCTCGAGATTACTTCCCCGCCGAAAAATGTGCATATTTACGTGGCATCCAGGAGTAAGCGGTCAGATGGTCACTCGTGGTGTAAGCACATACTGCCGAAGTTTCAGCCTTTTAGCATTTCTGGTTCTCAAGTAGAATGTGGGTGACAGAAAGTGCGAGCACACAGCACACAGACAGCTTCTTGCCAACATGTGTTTTTTGCATTATTATATACGCAAAGGTGCATAAAAATGAAAATAATTTCTTGGAAAAAATTTCTGGATAATGTTTTTGCCGAAGAATAATTCGAAAAAGAAAATAAACAGGATAATTCATTAATTTCTTTAAATATCATCACTTTAACAGAGATGACATCTTGCCCCAACTAATAATAACTCCGGTAGCACGTAACAGGCTTGCTGACGCAACCATGCATTTTTGCACCAAATCTGAAGTAATCAGGTTGTTAACTCATGAGCGGCTGTCTCTTTACACCTACCTTGTTCGTCCACTAGCGTAAATCATAGCAAATTTTGGATAAAGGAAAATGAACGATTTCCGTTTAGCAGTCGTTCCTTGAAAATGATCCAGCTATTCAGTGAGCAATTTTTTTTACCAACACCTTCATATGCCCATACGTGACGGCCACACATACAAGGAAAATCTTTAGCTCACACATGTACAGAGAATTTCTTGCAAAGTTTCAACTCTCTATTTTGCTTGGGTCCCGAGATCGTTTTCCCTCCAAAAAATTTGCATATTTTTTCGAAGCGTCCGCACGTGGGCGCGAACGTGCGCGAATCATAATATTAAAACGGGAGATGGGCACGCACTTCTGAAGTTTCAGCATTCCAGCTTTTCTGTTCTCTAATTCGTAACGGATGACATACAGACATATACGCACACACACGCAGCCTCTTATCAATGTGCGTTTTTGATTATCGTCGCAGCACTATAGCTCTGCACAGCAAAAGCGCACAAAAACCCTCGAAAATAGGATTGGCAACTGCTAACATTTGTTTCTGGACACCAGTATCTAGCTAACGAGAGCTTCCTCTTTTCGTACGGCACTGATCCTAGATAAGTGCCACCCGAAGACCGTGGTATCAACTCTCACGCACGTCTAAACCTAGCGAGCGACCACATAAAGATTTTGGCGGGAAAACCGCTAATGCAGGAACCAGGAATGCTGGGAAGCTGAAATTTTAAGGATGTGTTCCCAGTCCACGTACAACTTAAACTTTTCAAATTCAACACTAAAATGCGTGTGGTTCTCATGTATGGCTCCGTGAAGTTTTTGTCGGAAGAACCGCTAATTCGGAAACCAGGGGAGCTAAAACTTTAAGAGAATGTTCCCAGCCGATATTCAACTTAAAGATTCCAGATTCAGCCCAAGTATGCGTGTTCCCCAATTACAGCTCCGTGATTTTTTTGGTGGGAAAATTCACTAACTCGGGGATCAGAAAAGCTGGAAAGCTAAAATTTTAACAGAATGTTCCATTTACACAGTTGCACGATCAATCTTTCTGAAGTTTAAGTACCAATATGTCATAAACTCTAGCTGTTGTGATTCCAAACCATCCTGCAACAGCAGAAATACTGCAAAAACGCATAATTGCACGGGCCTGCTCAGTGCTTGTCGTCGGTGATTGATTACTGTTGCAAAAGCGCATTAAATCCCTTGAAAACAGAACTGGCAACTGCTAACACTTGCTTCTGGGCACCAGTAGTTTCCAGCCAGTGAACGCTCCGTCTTTTCGCGTGGCATTGACTGAAGTGAAGGTTGTGTGGTCGCCGCTTCGGCATGCAAGATTGCAGGTGGTCGACAAATTGCATCCCAGAGGGTTTCGAGTAGATCAGGCTGTTCTCTGTCTAATTCCAAAACATACAAATCTTCTTCTGTTGGCACGGACAGACTGAACTGTGATGCTAGCGCTACATCGTCAAGCAAACCACTGGGGAAGATCGAACAAAATGAGCTATTTTCACGAACATCACTGCGCTCCAAAAATGCATCTTTCTAAAAACACAAAAAAATCATGATTTTTCCAAGCACGGGGGCTACAGTTTTGTTGGCTTCGGTTTTCAAAGCATCTGATGTTGCTAACCATTTGAGGTTAATAACTTTTTTCATTTTTCACAAGCTGAAAATCATTTGACTCGTTTTGTGCTAATCACTGGCGTCTGCCATGCGTTTTAAACCCTTTCTTTGAATTCCAACGCTCTACATGCTTATACATACAGTGCATAAGTACAAACAAGTATATAACACACACACGCATATTACTATTTTCCTTTCGTTTTTAGATCTGCAGTATGGCATTGTTTTTTAAAGTGATGTGTATATTACCATAGTTATGGTCCATGCGTGCTTCCTCACTCCAGTTTCTAACGTAAAAGCATACAGACATTTCTCGAGGCATACATTAAGAGAGAGACTGAACTCAGCATCGCTGCATCCAGAATTCTTCAGACTTGAAGTTATTTGCGGTAAAGGAGAAGCAAAAGCTCCCCAACCTTTCACTCTTACAACACAAAATTTATTTTGAAATAAAATTTAAGAAACGTTGAGAAAAAGATAATGCAAAAAGTAAATAAAATATACTGCCGGGTTCGCTCCCAAATTTTAAGTTTTGATATCTTGCCTAAAATGCGCTTTTCTCAAGGACGAGTAATTTCCAAAGGGACCTCAAGGATATTAGATATCCCCAGGACATCGATAACGGCTAAAGCACGCTTAGCGGAGGTCCGCTATGACGATACCCCGCATTTCATCGCTAATGCAGTCAGCAATCTAAAAAGGCAGTCCCGCCGTCTACTCAAGGTCCCCACTCGTCTTCACCTTAGCGCAACTTCATGCTACTTGATTTCGCTTTGTCTTAAATTGCTTTGACTGTCCCATCCTCCGGATAGATTTATCATACTGGTTTCTGTTGTTGTACAATTGTTTCACATAAGCAGGTCAGTAGTCATTTGTATTGCCGTGTCATTTTTTTGTCTATGAACAATCTTGACTGAGCAGTTTGAGTGTTGCAAAGTTCAACATGCTTCTACACTTCGGTTCCTGCTGGCCCTCTGATGCACTCAATTCTCTAAGTGTTTGTATTAAGAATTTCTATGAATGCATCAAATAAAGCTATTACCTCGCCAGTAGGTTTAGAAACATCAGCCAATAATTCGTCTGTAGCTTGCTGGGAAATGGTATGTTGCTCCGGTTCCAGGTTTTCAGCGTAAGACAAAAGTCCAGAAGTGCCCGAGCGAGATGAATAGTCATTGGCGAGATTTGTACTTTGAAAAAATGGGTTTATCTGAAAAAAAAAAAGATCAGATATCCAAAAACTATATGCACTTTTTTGGTGCCCGAGGGTCCCCAAACACTTTGTTTTTCGAAAAGCGCGGTCAATTTTGTCTGGGCCAAAAACAGCTTTGGAATATTCATTCCACGAACTAAAGTCGAGGCCTTTTGGTGCGCGGTATTAAATTATCAGTCCTATACGCTCTTCATGCAGTCAAGAAACTTTTGTCTGCAGGCCAGTAGTGCAGACCATCTTCCCAGCTACATATTCTGACTTCAATTACAACTAAAATTATTTCGAAATAACTGCTGTTTTCAGATGACAGCATGTCGAAGAAAACAGGCATTGTAACCATTTTAAAAGAGGGCAAAACAAAAACAAGTTTTATTGCGACGAAAATAAGGGAAGACACACCGAGTGCCCAGGCAAGGTCTAAAACATTTTTAGAAAACGTAAGCAGTGCCACTTTAGTAAGAAAAAGAGGAAATCCGTTTCCAGAAAACTAGATTCAAATCTGATTATTTTCTCTTTAAGCATGGACAGAATGTGAATGAACTCAGTCCCGAAGAGTGCGCTATTTAACTTACCGTT